AGCGTCACGTGACTTCTGTTGTCGGAACAATATAATTTGACAGTGAAACCAATAGAAACACACCTTCTATGAAATCTATAGCTACTGATAAATGTTTTATTATTTTGTTTGACAGTGAAACCAGTAAAAGCAGTCATCACACCTTCTAAAAAGCCTATAGTTGCTGATAAAGAAACTGAGCTGATCTGTAAAGCAAAAGGATCTCGTCCTGCTGGAAAAATCACGTGGTGGAAAGGGAATCAGCAAATGCAGAATACACGAGAAAGCATCGTGCATAACGGCGCTACCAGTAGTATCTTAACCTTTACGCCATCTATTGACGATAACGGAAAGTATTTGTCCTGTCGAGTAGAAAACCTTTTGATTCGTGGAAGCGCTGTTGAAGACGGCTGGAAACTGGACGTACAATGTAAAAAATACTTTTATATAAAACACTTTTGTGATTGGAATGATCGAAGTGCATTACATAATCACTTAACTAACACTATATATACTCAAACACAGATAGATTTTCATTGGAGTGATCGTTTTATGCATCAGGTACGAAAAATATTAAATAAAATAAAGACCCGAATAAATCCAATCTAAGTATATTATAGATTATTGGTCATTTATTGGAGTACTATATGTTATAAACGTGAAGACAATAAATCATCTGTGTTTTATTTACTTCTAAAATACTCAATTAATCTCTTTAAGTAACGATATTGTGTACTTTATCCCAGACCCTCCTCAAGTGACTCTTGAACTTGGCACTAACCTGAAAGTAACGATATTGTGTACTTTATCCCAGACCCTCCTCAAGTGACTCTTCAACTTGGCACTAACCTGAAAGTAACGAATATTCAAGATGGAAACGATGTTTACTTTGAGTGTAATGTTCGAGCAAACCCTTGGATCCACGAAATAAGCTGGCAGTTTGAAGGTCAGGATCTCTCAACCAATACGTCAGCAGGCGTCATCATTAGCAACCAATCGCTGGTGTTACAGAAAGTACAGCGACAATACAGAGGGCGTTTCACCTGCTCTGGCAGTAATAACCAAGGTCTAGGAATTAGTAACGAGATATTTCTAAAGGTTCAGTGTACGTTTCCTTTTTTGGACTGTCACTTTTCATAAATCATAATATATATATATAACAAAATGTTGTAATATGTCTTTTAATTTTTGTAATCGGATAAGACGTAGTTCGTCTCTGAAATGTCACATTAAACATTAGTTAATTCTTTCCACACGATAAGATAGGTTAATTACGAATATAGTGTAAATTACACGTTTTAGAATGTTTAATATATTTAAGTACTTTTATTTCAACTTGAGTTTTCTGATGAGGTTACGACAGAAATTATATTACAATACACTTTGCAGATAAAAATGAAAGCTAACATATTTGAAGTAAAATAAAACACACCTTTACCACATATGTGTAATAAAATAAACAGGATAGTTCCTAACTTTTTCCTTCATTTTGTGTACAGATGCTCCGTTATGCAAACCAGGACAAAAGACCATGTATGGTGTAGCCAAGTACGAACCAGTCGAGGTATTGTGTGAACTCGACTCTGATCCTGATGACGTCACGTTTCACTGGCGTTTCAATAGTTCATACAAGAGGTCAGATAAAATCGTGTACTCTGTTGAACGAGCACAGAGCAAAGCGACTTATAATCCAGAATCGGACGAAGATTACGGAAAACTTCTGTGTTGGGGAACAAACAATATAGGAATCCAGAGACAACCCTGTGTTTTTACTATTGTTCCTGCAGGCGAGTATTAATTCAGAGACAACCCTGTGTTTTTACTATTGTTCCTGCAGGCGAGTATTAATTCAGAGACAACCCTGTGTTTTTACTATTGTTCCTGCAG